CACAAACCCCTCGAGTAGTCGCGAACTGTCTGGCTGGTAGACACACTCGTGCAGCCTGAGCACATTTACCAGCCAGGCAGTTCGAAACTACAAACTGATACATCTAGTAGTAATACAACTTACCTCCTGAGAAAATACCAGACATGTCATATGTCTGGTATTTTCTCAGTTTGTTTTTCATGTGTTTATATTTTTGGGCTGCAAAAAGCAGAACTGAAAAATAAAAAGGGGTTCCAATTAAAGTAAAAAGTTTGGGGAAACCCTGGTCTAACCAGCTTTCTGTCTGTCTTACAGCCCATTTATCCAATCCATATTCCTTAACTTGCTGGCAAGAATATTGTGGGTGACCATATCAAAAGCTTTGTTAAAGCTGGCACTGGGAGATTTGGGAGGACCAGAAACAACTTATTTGAATATTCATCATTTGATTAATGAATATGCAAATGAACATTACTGGTCCTCCAAAAGTTCGTGAATGGATTTACTGGTCCCCGTGGCAAAAAGTTTGGGAACCCCTGAACTACACTATTCCATCCCTACTCTCAACTGTAGGCATTTCTTCATTTTCCTCTCTACTCACCTTTTCTTTTTTATGGTTGTTTCCACTTCCATTTGTCACTCTTCCGTTCTCTTTGCTGTTGATTTTTCCACATCATTTTTTACTACCCTCTTCTCTCTCTTTGCCCAGCTTAGCCCAATCTTAACCCTTGACATCTGGGGCGCTGGAGAGAGCAGTGCTCCTGTCTCTGTAAAGTTCTTGGTTTTGTGTCTTGTGTCCAGTGAGAAGGCAGAGATCACTTCTCTCTGTAGAACTGCTGAGATGTGGCTGTGGGGTTGGGAGGGCAAGAGAGCGCGGGCTCATAGCACATCAGTGCTACTGAGTGCAGGGTGACCAAGTTCTAGTTTCCAGCGAAATTGGATCAAAATCCTAGTTAGTAACTGGTGGGGGCTGTCATGCAAAACAAGGGCAGTCCAGAACATCTGACCACTTTTGATATCCGTCCTAGCACTTGCTCAAACAGTACGTATTGGACCTGCTGTTATTTGCAGCATGCAGCTATTACAGGGTTGCAAACTATTAAAGGCTTAGTGTTATGAAGGGTTTGTTTTACAGATGAGTATGTCAGGTGATGGGGCTTGCGCCCTGGAACTGGGACACATCTTGGAACAGGACGCGCTCCCCGTTGCATCATATCCACTGCTGGCCAGCCTTTGCCTCTGCATAAAACTGCGTCAGGACATTGTGCTGACTTGACCATATGCTGGGCAGGGAGAAGCTGTGTGCAGCATTTGAAAACATGCTATCCTAAGAGCGCAGCTACCACAATAATAGGAACTGAAGTGAAGCACGTGCCAATTACAAAGGCATCTAGTGTTCATCTGTGTTGCATCCTGCTTTGATGTTTGATTTGAATGTTGGAGAGGTGTGCTAAGTCAGCGGGGGCTTAGGATTAGTCCGAAGAGGCATAAGATTCTTCATCTCTTCACCCCACCATTGAGGGCAGACACACCTGCAGCTGAGTTTGTGATGTTACCATAAAGATTTGCCTGGGTTTTCCAGGGAAGAGGGAGAAGTCCGGACCTAGAATTTTTAGTGTTTGTCTGTCTGTTTGTCTCTCTCAAAGCACAGGCTCTGTTTGTTGGGGGCAGGGTAATTGCTGTGACTATACTGCTTTGTGTATAAAAGACATCCTCAAAGAGATGCCGCTGTTTTGGATTGCTCTGATATTCGCTGTTAGTGCTCCATTTGCTTGGACCCCCAATACCTAATGTTTCAGGAGAGGGGAGCCAAGTGACTTAAGCCTTGTGACCCCTGATTGGAATCAGTTCTCCGTTGCACACAAAACCTTAACAGTTGCAATGTGACCGAAAAGCGATCCCAAGCATAACGTGAAGAAAGAGCCAGGTGGGTTTGAACTTGTCACTCCCTAGAGAGCTAGCTAGTATTATTCCAGGGAGCCATACAAAGGACAAATAAAGGAGAGAGTGCGATCGCAAGTGTTGCTTAATGGTACCAACACACATCTAAGAGCACACATTCATTAGTTGTGGTTGTGCACAAATGAATTTGATTATTAGAATAACTCAGTGTTTTGATGTGTTCTGCATTTCACGACAAAGGCATTTTAATTCAGTTGTTACCTATTGCACAATATTTATACAATCAAGTTAGTAAGCCCTGCCTGCCCCTTGAGGATGAAAAGCACTGTGTACGTGTGGGTAGTTGTTACTGATGTTGCGGTATTTTAACACTGCTGGTGTGGAAGCCAGCACTGGCTAGTGGCATGTACGACTTTGCTTGTGAGAAGGCTTTCAAATAGTCCTGCTTATGCTCTAAGTAGAGCCGTAATTTTGTAACCAGTTCATGACTCATTTACTGCGAACATGGTGTAGTTGTGTCTATATGGCATCTTTTTGCAGCATAAGCATGTGTTGACCTAATTTGCACATTCACACCTACCAATTGACCTGCCCGCATCTGTACCAGCATGTTCTGGAAAAATCTGGGCAACTATCTCCTAGTGCCATAGCAACAGATACAGCACTCGGAGGATATGCATGCGGAGTGATACCTGCAGTACGTGGCAGGGGTGGGGGAGGCAATGCATTGTGGGATGTTATGCCACACTGAGAGCGGGCAGGAGGGCAGACCAGCCAAATTGGCTATGTACTTAGGAGATTCTGTCCCTGTTGCCATCTAGCACGCCAGCCCAGTTACAGGATAATGCCATGTGCCAGCATAGATCTCTCCAGAGTTGTACCTCATCTGCTGACTGCTTCTGTTGGCTTTTCTTGCAGAGTTTGTCAGGTCATACAACGCCAGTGGAGAGCGTGCGGATCAACACAAATGAAGAGCTCATTGTCTCAGGATCCCAGTCAGGGTCCATTCGAGTTTGGGATCTGGAAGCTGCCAAAAGTACGTTTCGCTTCCCCTTCTCGTCTTCTATTTCAGAGACAGTGAGTGTTCCCTTCAGTTCAGAGCCGGGGTGGTGCTTGAATGCTTTGGTGCCAGGTTCCACTGAAGCTGTGTTAATGCATGTGTACACTTGCACAGTTATATGTGTACACACGGTGTCCATGTGGGTGTACATAGTTTCATGTTGAATCTGATTTGAGAGGACGGATGTTTGGGAATTTGGCCTGTGCATTCCTGACAAATTCACGTGCAAGTCATCATTGTAGGACACCTGCCGGTAATCAGCAATAGATGAAACGGTACGTTTTAGAACGTTGATGGTAGAAGTCATGTTCTTGAGTCTAGTCAATTGAGGGTACATTTCTGTAAATAAAAGGTTCATATAACAGCCAGCAACATGTTACTTGAACTTCTGAGGCCAGAAATATATTTTTCTTGTTTTCCTTCTGTATATCTTTTTGTAGCTTGCTCTAATGTTTGCTAACTGTATGCTACCAGATAAAGTTTTTAATTTGATTCGCAGCTTGGAGCCCTTTGACCACTGTGAATGGCCTCTGACCCTAGCCCTAAGAATTTTACTCTGCACATCTGAACCCAAAGGTCACTGGGCCAGTCCATGTACTGCAGTTTCTGTGTATTGCTGAAGTAGACTCAAAAGCATTTTGATGAAGTGATGTACCTGTCACAGTTCAGAGGTGAACAACATCTGCATTCCTCCTCTGTGGCCCACCAAGGCATCCACTATAGACTCCCAGCTCCTCAGCTGTCACCCCTCTTGTCTCTCTCCCCTCTGACTGGGGTTTTTCTGGGCCATACAGTTCCTGGCCTACAGTGATACACCCAGCTCCTCAGTAATCAGACTGCTTAAGCAGGGCAGTGGTACCTGTTTGAATAGCTCTAATTGCCAGCATCTATAGCTGACCAGCCCTTTTTAGACCAGCACATTTATTCTTAAGATAAAAGCAGTAGAGAAAACGTATTCAAACCAACACAAGAACTTCCATGCATGCCCCTAGGCTTACCAGACATCACCCCAGCTCCTGCAAGGGCTCTGCCAGGGGTCAGTCTTCCACACCCCACCAAGGAGTCCCGACTGCCAAATTCATGACGGCCTTCAGTCAGAACAAGCGCTCCCCCAGATAGGTCAGGCTTTCCTTTGTACAGCTTGGGCTTTGCTCCTGACACTCCCGGAACAGATAATCAGCAGACAGTAGCACCACGTCAGAAACTGGGTGTTGGTGTGTTTTTCTCAACAGTCTATTCTTGTCTGGCTGATTGTTCATCGAAGTGCCTAACGCACTCCAGGTTCACGTTCCATGACCCCCGAGAAAGAGAGATTATATGCTGTCCTAGCCCACAGTACCACGCAAATCCTTCATTCCATACGGTGCCCCCCAACCATGCTTCAGCTTATTTCCCTGAGGTCTCCAACAGAAATTGCCCTTTGTCACAATGTGCAGATGCATAAGCTGGGCCCAGGATACAGCAGGAGTTTGTGTTTGATGGTAGGAAGCAGCATAGCTGGACGTGTGCATTGTCTGTGGGAAAATTAACACTGACCCATGGGTTTTCCCTCCCTCCCTGTGCATCTTCTCCCTTTCCAGTTCTTCGTATATTAATGGGTCACAAAGCAAATATCTGCAGCCTGGATTTCCATCCATTTGGCAGCCTTGTAACTTCTGGGGCCCTGGACACGAATATTAAGGTAAGGCCGGTCTCTTCTGGACATACCTCTTTACTCCCTGTGCATTTGTGTTGGATGGTGAATAGACTGTTCTGGGGGAGGTTTGTAAAGCGTCAGTTGCATGTGTGAGGCGGTGTGTTCATGGATGATGGCACAATTCCTGCTTGTCTGCGGTATATTTGAGGGAGTCCATCTGTCGAAGAACTCCTCATAAATAGGGAGAACTAGGACCACCAAATTCGGTATGAGCAAGGGAAGGGTTTGGTTGTGCCAGGAAAATGGGATGTGCCTGGGATGGGGTTGCGTCTCAGAAAACCATAGAGACCTGACAGAATCACCAGGCAGGGGAAAGGGGCTGGCTGGGATGCTCCCCTCCCTCCCTCCTGCATGGGACTGTCCCAGCCCCCACGCCTCTTCCCCCTCCCAGCTCCCTTTAGGGAGGGTGACAGAGGCTGAAGCTTCTTTCTGCTATGCCCTCCCCCGATTTGTACAGGAACATTGCCGGCTGTTCCTCTTCATCAGGGGGCGAGGGGAAAGTGCCCAGTTTGCTGCATTCCTCACTCTGGCTGGAGACAGACAAACCTGGACCTTCCCCAGCCGGGGGACATGCACCCTTCCCCTGGCTGTGTCTGCTGGAGTGGCAGCGTCCATGGAGAGGTGCTTCTCACCTGGCCCCTAGCTGCTGCGGTGAGAGGGGCCTGGAGTAGTCCTCTCTCCCCAGGGCAGCCTGCACCCCACCTCCCCAGCCCCACCATTTTATTTTCCAAAATAGCTAAAATGAATCGCATTAAGGACTGGAGCAGGGCTGGGTACGTTTTCTAGTATCCTTATAACTGAAACGCCTCCCAGTAGGAGGAATCTGATTCATCACTTAGCATTTATGGTTTATCCTTCAAGAGTCTCGGTGTTAGATGCCAAATAACCGCGGGGTACGCAGGTGTGATACCATCGGTGGGGCTGCACCTGCTGGCACCAGGCCTGCATTTGGCCCTAAGAATTGAGCTTTCCGGGGATGAACTGGCTTGCCAGCAGGCTTTCCCACTGAACGCTGCAGCTGTAGCTGGATCCCATGCCAATCCTCCCTGGGTAGAGGGGTGGAAAGGGTAAAGAAATACACCTTGTATAGGCTTGTGTTTTAGCAGCCCCCTGAACTGCTGGGTTCCTGTCCCATAGCCGTACCACCGCGTCTTTGAATTCTCCAGGAGGGAGAGCTGCCATTCTCTCTGACTTTCAGGGTCCTTCATAACTGTGGTTCTAAGCCCGTGGTTTGTTTCCTTTCCTGTAGCTCTGGGATGTAAGAAGAAAAGGCTGCGTCTTCACTTACAAGGTAAGGGGGGGGCTTTGCTCTCATCTGGTAGAGGAGATTTTCTCTGATTTAGGGCACGTCTAGACTACGGGTTTTTTCGACTGGAGATATACAAATTCAGCGCTAATTTGCATATTGTCTTCCAATCACATTTTCGAAAGCAGGTCTTTCGAAAGTGAAAGTAGTCTGGACGCGGTTTTTTCAGGGGGAAAAACCCCTTTTTCGGGGGGGAAAAAATGCTCTTTCTAAAAAAAAAAAAAGGAGGTTTACAAGTCGTCATCGTTCCCCCTCCCCCCCGAAAAAGGCAGGAATTGAGAGGGAATTGCCTAGAATTAATGTATTAATCCCTTGGTATTGGAAATGGATCAGATGTGACTTGTGAAGCATGCAATGATATCTGATGGCCTGAGCATTTGTTCAGTGCATGCTTGGAGAGAGAGGCGGCTAGAAATGATTAGCATCTCATTAGCTTACTGTGCGCTGGCTGGTGTTGGTGTTGGCAGATCATCCCGTGAGTGAGTGTCCGGTGGGTGATGGATGCATTGCCCTTGTGTTGGAGACTGTTGAATTCTTCGTGTTGCTTTCCCACCTTACGGTGGACCTTTGATACTGTAATCAGCATTGCTCAATTGGGCTTGTATCAAAATACAATCTACAATATGGAAAGAGGAAGCCAGGAATTCCTTCTCAGGGCACAACAAAAATGCAAAGCCATTGCAAGTTGTATCCGTGTTTTTTTGGTTTTTTTTAAGGGTCACACACAAGCAGTTAGGTGTCTCCGATTTAGTCCTGATGGGAAGTGGATCGCATCTGCTGCCGAAGATCACACCGTAAAGGTATGGGCAAGACTATGTCAGGAGCCTTTACCCCTGTGGCACGTGAAGGGGGGAGATGTGTGTTTTACTTTTCCTCGCCAGTTTCTTCTCCACCCTCTCCCTCTCCTTATGCAGTGATGCGTGTCCCTTAGCTTGACAGGGTAAGTCTCTGTGCAGGGACCATGTTCTGTTGTCCAATAGGCAAAATAATCATAAAGGAGGTATGGCTAAGTGAAATACAATTCCTTCCTGTCCAACAAACAAGGCAGTGTCCTGCCTCTAAAAGTTCAGGGTACGTCGATTGGCAGGTGAGTTGAACCCCGGGCTGAAAATGAATGCTCAGTTGTCAGTCGGGTGGTTAGCCGTGTGTGCTCTCCAAAGAGCTGTCAGGGACACAGCTCACCGAATGCGATGAAAGAGAGAATTCAGAAAAGTATCTGATCTAGCGGCAGTTTCTTCTGCTACAGTAGGGAAAAGGTAGGACCAGAGGTCTGGCTTCGTTTTCAGCCTCAGTCGGTCACTGCACCCAGAATTTATATGTGAAGACCAGATGATGTGAAAGGCGCAGGAAGAATAACACGCAACACCTCCTAAATTCAACCCTCCCTCTGGAGCCACTGTATTTTCTTGCCACTCCCCCGCTGTGATAGAAGTTCTTTGACAGATCTCCAAAGAAAACCAAGACCGGAAAGACCCCCTCAGTCTGTTTGAAACCCTGTGTGGCCCAGAAGCAGGCCTGCCGGTTAGCAGCTTTCCAGTGGAGAACGATCCAGGGTAGACAAATTCTCTCTAGCGTCTGACTGTGTTTTCCTTCTTCCAGCTGTGGGATCTGACGGCTGGGAAGTTAATGTTCGAGTTTACGGGACATACAGGCCCAGTAAACATTGTTGAGTTTCATCCCAACGAATATCTCTTGGCCTCCGGCAGCTCTGATAGGTATGTGCACAGAACGAGAAAGCAGGAGTTCTAGGCATCCGCTGCTATACCAGCAGCATTGCTGTGCTTGTAGGGGGGTGAGGCATTCCCCCACTAGAGGAGTAGGACAGTTCCATTGCAGGTGTGCTATGGTGCCCTGCAGATCCTGCTGTGTCCTCCCAAAATCTAAGAGCAGCGTCTGTCATACTAGGAATCGACATGCTAGACTTTGGAGTTGCATGCTAATGCGGCCACAGACACACGCCTTTTCCCCACTGACGTGGAGGCAGTGCTAGAATCCCGTGGAACCAATACACGTGTCCCTTTGCACCCGGGGCAGATCCAAATTCTGCTCTAGTGTGGCCTGCTGTTGGGTTCATCATTAGCACCCAGCAATACACTGCTGGGGAAATGGCTGTCCCATGCTAGTAGTAACTTTACACCCAGGTCTGGGTCTGCGGCCTGCTAGAATACAGCAGACTTGCAAGGAGACGTACAATTATTCTTCCGTTCGTTACGTTGTGCTTGTAGGACAGTCAGATTCTGGGACCTGGAGAAGTTTCAAGTGGTGAGCTGTATTGAAGAGGAGGCCACGCCTGTCAGGTATTACACTTGTACCTCAGTGTACCTGGTGGGAGGATGTGGTCTGGTTTAAGGGGCCGAGTTCTCACTAATAAGGCACTTAGCTAAGGAAGCTCATGCTACTGAAGCTGTAGCTATAGGGCACTTGTCCGTGGTGTTCACTGTGAAGCCCTAGCAGATGTCTAGTGACCTCAGGTGTGCAGCCCCGGTTTCCTTCGGAGACTTTATTGTTCAGTAACGTCTTGGCTAAAGTGTGGTCTCTTTCCTTTTCCAGGTGTGTTCTTTTCAACCCGGATGGCTGCTGCTTGTATAGCGGCTACCAGGATTCGCTGCGTGTGAATGGCTGGGAGCCTGAGTGCTGTTTCGATGTGGTCTTGGTGAGCTGGGGAAAGGTGGCTGACTTATCCATCTGCAACAACCAGCTGGTGAGCCCCTCTTCCTGAAATGGAGAGAAGAGTCTGAGAAATGACACCCATTCCCTGGGCTCCTTCCTGGGCCTCTGCCTTCTAGACAGACGGGCCATGTTAGACAGTCACAGCTCACAGGTGGCCGGGGTCGGACTGCTTGTACAGTGTTCCTCAGCGGATCTCGGAATGACAGGTAGACGTGGGGCAGGATGGTTTCCATACGCTGCCCCTCATGCCCTACTCCACGTTCCTCTGGCTTCCTGAGGAAGAAACGGGGTGAGTCCAGTCCCGTTTGCACCCTCGAACGTGGATGTGTGACACCGTGAGTGTGGTCCAGTGAAGAGTGCTAGCTTGGAAGGGTTTGCGCCCCAGTGCCAAGAGTCGGACTGTGTGCAGACACTCGTCCTGTAGAAAACAGGAGCAGTGGCATTTCTGTTCCCATCTTCAGGTGGGCGGGAGTAGGAGATGGTGAGGTGGCACTAGGTTGGAGAGTAGGAAAAACTATTTCCCTGGGACGGGGAGGGGGTGGAATTTCCATCCCTAGAGGAGTTTAAGTCCCGGCTTGTCACAGCCCTGGCTGGGATGATTGAGTCGGGGTTGGTCCTGCCTTGGGCAGGGGATTGGACTCGATGACTCCCGAGGTCTCTTCCAGCCCAGGATTCTATGACATGAGCTCAGACTCTCCTAGTGAAGCCCTGTCAGAGCTCTGGATAGGACCTAGGTTTCCCGAGTTCCACTCCCATCACTAGCTCCTCCGCTAAGCTGCTTCTCATGTCCCCTAGCGCAGCCATTTGAAATACCCCTGGTGTGCTTGGCCCGTTCACTGTGAGCAGTATCCGAGCTGTTACACTGGTGCCCTGTGACTAGTCTCAGCAACTTTCCCTGCTTGATTCTTCCATGTCTTGCTTATGTTCCCAGTTGCTAAAGGCCCTTCTGGCCATTATTATGGGATGCCTTGTTTTGAATGGCTTCTCGGCGGCGTTGTGCAGTTGATTTAAAGGAGACGAAACTCGAAGCCTAGGTCACAGGACCTCAGCTTAGAGGGGCGAATGTTGCACTTGGCCTCCTAACAAGTTTCCTTCCTCTTGCTCCTGGCAGATAGGGGTTTCCTTCTCCCAGAGTACAGTCTCCTCGTTCGTTGTGGACCTCAACAGAGTCGCCAAGTCTGCTTCTGTTCTTCCTGGGCTGATCAAGGATGATAGGCCACTGGCTCAGCCCACGCCCACCGGCTCCTCCCTTCGACGCATCTATGACAGGCCGTCAACTACCTGCAGCAAGCCCCAAAGGTAAGGAGGATCCCTCTGCACGTGGGTAAAGCATTCCAAATGCTTTACTGGGACGTGCAGAGATCTCTTGGATGTTCCCTGCCCGTCTGCTCCTGACCGGGTCCCTCTTGTTGGCAGAGTGAAGCACAGCTCGGAGAGCGAGAGGCGCAGTCCCAGCAGTGAAGATGATCGGGATGAGAAGGAATCAAAGGCTGAGATCCAGAATGCAGAAGATTACAAGGAGATCTTCCAGCCCAAGAATTCCATCAGTGAGTGCTGGGCTCTGTTCTGCTTTCCCGGGGGTAGCCAGGTCAGGGTTTGAGCACTTCAGAATTAACCGGCTCTAGCAGGAGGCGTGAACTTTGGCTAACTGGCCAGGCCTGTGGCTGTTTGGAGTTCACAAAACCTCTCTCTAAAATTCTTTTAACATGGGCCTCTGAACCCAGGGCTACATTGGCAGCTTGCTAGAAGGCTGTATCTAACTAGGCAACGGGGAAGCAAATTGCAACCCCTCCCCACTTTCAAAACAGAGGTATGGCCCAGAAGCCTACTCCTCCATCTTAAGTGGGATGCATTTCTGTAGGAATTACTGGATTGTGGGGTGGCTTTCATCACTTGTACCGCACAAAACCCATCAGTCTCCCATTGGAGGTTAAGTGCTACTCCAAAGGCCAGCTATGTCAATTTAGAAGGCCAGTAAGATGTTTAAATGTAGTAGAAGCAGTTTTATTAGCTTCCTTACTGGTGTCATTAAGAATCCATTATCTGTGCACGCTTCTTTCTGCTTCACTCTTCTCACTGACTTGGCTGCATGTTACCTTACTCTGCACTTCACTCCTGAATTCTGAGAATGTATCCGTCCGATTTGCTCCTCAGAAGCACAGCGGCTACAAACCGTCAAGCTGACACCCAGCAATACCAGCGTATAAGCTCATTGGGAGATAACCCAGCCTGCAGTGTCAGTGGCTGTCTAGTGTGAATTACTCAAGGCTGCTTTTGCTAATCTGTGGCCTCGACTTTCTTTCTTTTCTTTTTTTTCCTCCTCTTTGTAGCTCGAACTCCACCACGAAAAAGCGAGCCCTTCCCAGCCCCCCCTGAGGACGGTGAGTTGAGATTGTCCCTCTGAATGCTGGGTGAGGGTGGGTGGGAGTTGGTGGGCAGGTGGCTGCTTCAACGGGATGCTTCTTGTCCAGAAACACATTTGCCTTGTACTCAGACCTTTGACTTACATAGGCTCTGTGCTGAAAGCTGTTCCCGGAAGGGTGAGTGTGACTTTCCCTCTTCTCGCTCCAGAGCCTATTGCCATAAAGGAAGCAGCAAAGCCCAGCCAAGCGGTGAACGTTCAGACGCCATTGCCAAACCCAGACAATGTACGTACCACCTGAGCCATTCGGGTCTGTCAATGCCCCCCTTCCTCACGAGCTCCAAGCCTGAAGATTCTGGAGTGTTGCTAATCATGCCGGTTCCGCCATGCTCGTCAGTGCAGCCCCGGAAGGGAAAACTCTCCTCACAGCAGGGTCAGGTGTTGCGCTGAAGGCCAGGTCTCCAGCGTGGGTCCGTTCACAAGCAGATTTTTGTCTCTGCTACTTTAATTCTGTTTCCACGTTTCTAGTCTTGTTTCTCTTCGCCTCAAAGTCCGGTGTGCACCACAGAGAAACAGCTGTCAGATGTCCAGGGATTCTTTAACCAGGGCTGATTTGTACGTGAAGACTGACTGAGCCCCGTAGGATGGGGCCTCTCCAGGCACGTTCCGGCGGCCGATGCCCATTATCCTGGAACAATGGAATAATAATTTCCTGCCTTTTCCCAATGCCTTTCAATGGAGAATCTCTGTGTTCTTCGCAATCATTAAATAAACCCCACAGTGCCCCTGAGAAACGTTTTCTCGCTCTGTCATGCCAGCCATCTGGAGACTGCTCCAGAAGAAAGAGGGTGTGAGACTTGGGCACCAGGTATAAGAGGCAAGGAAAGGCAATGCCGTCTCAAACTGCCAGGCATGGCCCTCCCCACACACTGCCCCAAGAACATCCCCCGGTTCCGCCCGGCTCCTGGGCTTCAGCCATGCTGGGGCTGGGGCCGCTGGGGCAGTGAGACCTCCCTGTGCTTTGAGGCTGGCGAGGCTCTCATGGGGCTGGAGGCTTGCCCCTATAGTAGGAGGGGCTTGGCTCCTGTGGGGGCGGGGTCTCAGGCAGAAGGGGCGGGGCTGGTGGTTTGCCTTGCCCGGCTCTACGTTCACCCTCCGCCCATGGGGCAGAGCATTGCAGCTGTAACTTCTTTCACTTTCTCCTGCAGCCTGCGCCAATTGCCTCCTCCACCCCTGTGACCAGAGCTGAGCCCTCAGTCATTCCTGCAGCCAGGAATGCGCCCATTGGGCTGAAGGCCTCTGACTTTTTACCGGTAAGTAACTCGCTTATTACACAGGCTGGGAGGCAAGCAGGCGGCTTGGGAGACAGGGCGAGCCGCGTGGATACCTGGATCCGTTATAGGAGGTAGCATTGTCGCCTGCTCTGCCCACACATGGCAGGATTGGCTTGTGTTCGGCCAGATTGCTGCCCAAAGAACACGGGATAAATCCCCTGAGACTGCTGGTGTGCGGGGCTCCTCTTCGCACTGCCAGATCACTGCTCCCTGGGCGAGTCTATAAGCCCCATCACTGAGTGACGCCTGACTGGTCTCACCCGCCCTCTGCTCGCTCCTTGTCAGCCTAGAGATGCTCCCACCCCAGCTCCTGACAAGCTGGTGGTTGGTTGTTACTGCCTGATTGACAAGAGACAGCTGCCGAGGCGTGGAAGCGTACACACTGAGACTGTGCTGGCCGGTATGATGGGCAGTGGGCCAGCATGCAAGCTGCTTGACCTCGGTTTCTTACAGACCTTGCGGCACGGGTCCGTTGGTCTCTGAATTATTTCACTTGCTTCTTTGGCTCCCCATCCGGGATTGTCCCGAGAAGTTTCCCTGGGCAGAGTCCCTCCCTCCCCATTTCAGAGCAAGCCCAGGCTCTCCTCTGAGACCAGACTGTGGTCCGATGAAAGACAGCCGCCAGCGTGGCTTCGACAGGCGTCTCGGTGAACCGCAGACGAAATCCACAGAGAGGGTTGGTGTGTTTGGGAGAGGGAGTTCGGGGGAATGTGAAGTTGGTTGAAAATTTTGTGATTAGAAGATTTTTGAATTGGAAATGGAGTTTGTTTGAAAACAGCCTTTTTGACAGCAAACATTTGTGTGTGTCCGTGTCCGTGTCCGTGTCCGTGTCCGTGTCCGTGTCCTTTCCAGCACTTAACTGTTTTCTAATACTTGTAAGCTGGGACACAGTGAAAAGGAGTGAGGGAAGAACCCACCCAGTGCTAACTAGTAAAATCCCATGAAAGATACATTTACCACACTCTTTTTTTCACCTTTCTTCCTTGTTTCCAGTACGGAGAAGCAGGGTGTGTCTACACTGCACCGTTATTTCGAGAGAACTGGCGTTATTTTGAAATCACAATGCGAGCGTCTACACAGCTGTTCCGTTATTTTGAAATAATTTTGCAATAACAGACGGCTTATTTGGAAATCTGTAGACCTCATTCTATGAGAATAATGCCTATTCCGCATTCGCTATTTTGAAATAAGGCGCGTGTAGACACAGCTTCTCACCAGGGCCATTCTAAGTTATTCCTCCCCACTGCCTCCTGGGGCTCTAAATCGAGAGAGAGCATCTACATTAGGGAAGCCTGTCTCGGACTACAGGCGACCGCCGCACTTATTGGTTCCTGGAGAACCCTTATTTCCCACAGGCGCAATGTTATAAATAGCGGTTCCATTCCTAGAAACCCATTTTGTACCCTAAAAATACCAAAATGGACTATGGAAATGGAGGAAAACTAAACTAAATAGTTCAAATAATGCACAAAAATAACTAAAACGTGAAGACTGATGTGGCGGAGACGCATGTAGGTCAAGCAGCAGCTGCAGACTGGCGAGTCTGACTGACCTTGTGCGTTTCCTGTTTTGGGATGACACATGGAGTCTGCGTCGTACGCCGTCGTAAATGTGAGCTGTGGATGTTAATTTGGGGGGTTTAGGAGCTATCTTGAATGAAAAAAAGTGGTGGTAAATGTGGGAGGTCGTAAGTCGGGGGTCGTTTGTCATTTTGAGGCTCCTCTGCGGTGTAGACGTGCTATTTCGGAATAACTATTCCAGAATATCATATTTTGAAATAGCCGGGCAGTGTAGACGTCCCCTTAGAGATTAGAATTTAAATATTTCTCTTTGAAAAAAACCAAGTGCAATTTTTGAATGGGAGACGGAATGAAAATGAGAATTTAAAAATGTTCGTTTTGTGCTTTCTTGCGGGAAATCAATATTTTTCCAGCGGAAACATTTCAGTGAAGGCTTTTTTTCTTTGAAACTGTCCACCGGAAAGAACCCCACTTCTCTCCCCGCGCTAGGCTGTATTAGCTGTGTTCAGTTTGTGCTTAAAACTTCTGAGAACACAAGTCCAGGTTCTTTCCCAGAGAGCCCGTGTTCCTAATGCCAAGGGAAGCAGGGTTCAATCTAGGAAAGCTCCTCTTTATCCTCCTCCCCCAGTCTCATGCCAGAGCACCCGGCTCCACTGTCACATCAGTTGGTGTCCCTGTGTCTGTCCTTCCAGGCTGTGAAAAAACCAAGCCAGTGTGAAATTGTGGATGAGGAAGCCATGTCCCAGATCCGTAAGGGCCATGAGACCATGTGTGTGGTGCTCACCAGCCGTCACAAGAATCTGGACACCGTGCGAGCGAGCTGGAGTACCGGTGACATCAAGGCAAGGAAGTGGGATGTGCTGGAGCCAGGGCTGGGTCAGATTTACTCTGCGGGGTAGGGGTAGCAATGGGACAGGCCAGCTCAGCTTGTAGAGGGCTGGCTCTGAACTGCCAGCTACAGGAAGATACAATGTGTAAGCGTCAGCTCCTGCCACTGTGCTTTGGTGTCCTGTCTTTGTTCTGTAAGTCCAAAGAAATGTGGGATGAACTGTGGTGTGGCCGAGGCTGGAGCTAGAGTAGTCTCCCTGTTTCCTGCCCCGGACCTGTAGCTGGCTACTGGCGGCATGTGCTTCTTGTGTGTCTGAGCCTGGAATTTGGCAAATAATTCTCATGATGATCCCATGGGGCCTGTAACGTTTCTGTTCCTCCTCTCCCCTTGCCTCAGACGTCTGTGGACTCTGCCGTGGCTATCAACGATCTTTCTGTTGTGGTGGACCTCCTGAACATCGTCAACCAGAAGGCGTGAGTACTTGCCGTTGCCGTGTCTGTGTCCGGTCGGGACCGTCTCCTGCTCTCTCCGCTTGCTGTATCCGATAGCGGCTAGACCTGCGCTACCACCCGTTCAGCCCCTGAGTTGGCCCTGTGGCAGGCCTGGGCCCCACCAGCGTAAGAACAAATGCGTTTGTCATGTGCTTGTCTTGGTGGCGGTTACTGTCTTGTCACCAAATTCTCAAGTACTCCAGCCAGAAAGGGCCACAGCGGCGATTACGCCACTTTGCGTCATAAGGTGGAGTGAGTGCACTCGGTCAGCGCTGCGCCGGCTGAGTGGTTAGGGCTGACCCCAATGCCCTTCTCCTCCCGCAGGCTTGTCCTGTTTTCTTCGAGTGTCTTCTTCTCTTCCCAGGTCTCTCTGGAAACTGGATCTGTGCACTATCGTCCTGCCCCAGATAGAGAAGCTCCTTCAAAGCAAGTACGAGAGGTGAGATGGCCAGGAGGTGACCTCCTTGGAGGACAAGCCGGTGGAGAGGGGCTTTAAGAGCCACTGTGGAGAACGTAGCTGATCTCTAAAGCAAATCCCAGAAAGCCATGGAGGATGGAGCATTGCATGGATCCAGCCTCCGCAGGAGCGGGGGGAGTAGACCTTGCTTGGGCTTCCCCAGTACAAGGACATTGAGGGCAGCTGACTGTTGGCTTGTAAATACCCTGGGTTGAGGGGAGCGGTGGCAGAGCCAGGAGCGAGCTTGAGGCAGACTCAAGTCTGGCAGTGGAGCTTTGGATAACTGCTCTTGGGAGCCGAGACAGTCAGAGAAATGCGCAGGAGTGGAGCGTGCAGGACACTGGTTGGGCAGGTGACTGAGAGAGCGGGAGCATGGGGGTAGGTAGAGTGGAGCCAGAAGAGCAGGGTGCTCCAGGCACCATGTGCCGGGGCACTGAGCCACGAGGCAGCCTTCGAGTAGTTTGGAAGGTCCTGGGGCAGGCAAACTACAGCCCACAAGCCAGATCTGCGCCCCCGGCCACTGGATCCAGCCCAGGGGAGCCTCTGCCAAGCTCCCTGCCGGCCCTGCCCACCCCACTGCTCAGAGCAGCCCTCTGAACGCTGCGCCCGGCCGGGAGGACAGTTTGCAGGACAGGCAGTCACAAAATACCCTCCTCCTGGGCGTGCAGTGTTCACACTCAGCCCCCCATGGCTCCTGCAGCCAGTGCAGAGGCATGAAAGGGACCCTGGCTGAGGAACCAGCTGGGCTGCTGGCTGGGAGCCACCCAGGGAAGCACCTCCCAGCCTCTGGTGCCCTGCCCTGCCCCCCCAACACTCTGCCCTCCTGCGTCTTTACCCGTGTGACCCAAGCCCTCTGCACCCCTGCTTTAGCACCCATCCCCCCTTCCAGACCCGGCACCTCAGTGCCCTCTCCCCGGTCACAACCCAAATCCCTGCCCCCCTCCTGCAGTCCTGCCCCGGGTCTCAGACCCTGCGCCCCTCCTCCAGGTCACAGCCCCCTTTCCGCCCATCAAAACCTATTGCCCGCCCCTGCTGTGGCTGCGCAGGGAAGAAATGCAGGATGCCCCTCGGGAAGGACTCCCTGCCCCAGCTCTTCAGCACCACAGATTGGTGGAGCCCGAGTCCTGGCACAGAGCGCTTCTGTCCTGGAGCTGAAGATGGAGCAGGGGTCAAAGGTCAGCATCTGAGGTCAAAGGTCAGCACGGAGTTGGCGCCATCAGCAGCTCAGGCCCAGCTGGTGCTTTTCCTTCCTCCCTCTGATCCCTCCTTCCCCGGGGGAAAGGGGGGTGGGTGTCACCCCAGTGTGGGAGGCTGGCTCGGGGAAGGACCTCCGGCAGCGCAGTCTGCGTGTAGCGGGCAGCATAAATAGGGGAGGGACAGGCAGGTGACGTCCGCCCCTCTGTGTCTGTGTCAGTTACGTACAGACCGGCTGCACCTCCTTGAAGCTGATCCTCCAGAGATTCCTGCCGCTCATCACAGACATTCTCGCCGCGCCGCCTTCCGTGGGGGTGGACATCACCAGAGAGGAGAGGTAAGGAGCCCAGGCTGCCCCACCGCAGTGGGCACGAGCCTGGAACTGGTCAGGGGCCTTCCTCACCCAGGGCGCGGGGCCGCCCCTCCTTGCTGGCTGCTCACAGCGGCGATAGGATCCGAGCCTCGGCACGAGCCCGCTGGCCGAGCAGCCGCTCTCCTCCTGCCCATCCCAGGCCCCCAGGACCCGCTGAGGGCTGGCCCGGGGTTCACGCCCTGCCCTTCTCCCCTGGCAGGCTCCACAAGTGCAAACTGTGCTACAAGCAGCTGAAGAACATCAGCAACATCATAAAGAACAAGTCCGGGCTGAGCGGCCGCCATGGCAGTGCCTTCCGGGAGCTGCACCTGCTCATGGCTGTCCTTGAGTGACAGCTACCTCCTCGTCCTCCGCATGCGCAAACACCCTGGCGGCCCAGCCCCCCCGCTCCAGCCAGCTCCCCTCTGCCTCCCTGCACCCATCCTGGTCCCCAGAGCACAGCAGGGAACTGGAGCCCCACTGGGCAGCTGGCTGCCTGCCCCACTCCGGTGCCTTGGGGCTGGCTTGCAGACCTGCCTGGAGATCTGTGCGACGGGGGGAGGGCCTGGCTGGACAAGGACACGCAGCGGAGCCTGCACCTTTCTCCAGCTCTTGTGTGGCTCTCCCCTGCCTCCTCCCAGTCCCATCATCGGCACGCCGGCCAGCCGAGCCTGCGGGTCAGACCAGCTGGGATGCTGCCTCTGGGCCTGGGGGCCTGCTCCGTTTTCCCTTTCCTGGAGCATGGACGTGGCTTAGGACCAGCCCCTTCCTGGGTGAACTGTCGGAGGGTCGAGCCAAGACCCCTCTCAGCAGGAGCCCTCCTGGTCTCATGCCTGAAGCCATTTCCAGTGAGGGGCTCTGGGCCGTGTGGCGGCAGCCGGGTTACAGTCTAGCAAGCAGTGGGTGGGGATGGGGCCTGGGGAGTTAGTTGGAAATGGGGCTCAGCCAGGGCGTGCCTGCGTGTTTTGCCTTTGGGGAAGGCCTTGAGCTAAGAGTGGGTGGCTGGGTCCGGGGCAAATGGACACGGACCAGGCTCCTTCCAGGCCCACGGGACTGGAGATTTTTCAGTCAGTGGCTGTAAACCTTTGTCCGTTCTTGCTCCTTCCCTGGAGGCAAGGAGGCTCGTGCGCTCGGGGCTCCCTCCCCCCTGGATCCACTGGAGCCTGCTGTCCAGGAGAGGAGCTTCCAATGGCTTTTATTAAACAGATTTATAACTTATTTGGCAAATCACGTGAAACGTTTGAGTCTCTTTCCGCACCAAAGCCCCGCGCTGCCCTCTCTCCTGCTGGGCCACGAGTGGGGGGCAGGACTCGGCTTCCTAACAGCGACCTTGCAGTCTCCTCCCGCGGCCCCTGCTGCCGAACAGCGTCGCTTTCCATGTCCTGGCCCAGTTGGAGCAGGCGCCTACGTCAGATTTTAGGAGGCATCTTTACTCCACTGGTTCGTTCCATCCTAGAAGCTTTAAAAGGAATCTCTGTTCACAGCCTGTTCTTGACTGGGCCAGTTCCCTTCCGGTAGGACTGGGCCCCTTAGCTGGGCTCTGCCCTGCCTGTGGCCAAGGCCCTGCCTGGAGGCTTTGGCTGAGATGCGCAGGCAGCTTTGCAGGCGGGAGAGACCGCACGTATGAGGGACAAGAACCAAACCTGGCGACGGGCTTCACTGCCTGAGCCAAATGCAGTGGAACCGGCAGTAGGTAACCAAACCTTTCCAGCACTCTGCAGGCATGATGCGCGGGCGGTGCTGAGGTGCCTACAGCGATGCGCTATGGGCCCCCGGCCCTGGGGCCCATCCGGCGATGAGCGGGGGCGGACAGTGCTGAGGAGCGCCCGGCAATGCGCTGTGGGTGCCTGGCCCTGGGGTGTGTCCGACGATGCGCTGTGGGCGCTCGGCCCTGGGGTGCGTCCGACGATGCGCTGTGGGCGCCTGGCCCTGGGGTGCGTCCGACGATGCGCTGTGGGCGCTCGGCCCTGGGGTGTGTCCGATGATGCGCTGTGGGCGCCCGGCCCTGGGGTGCGTCCAGCGATGCGCGGGGGCGGACAGTGCTGAGGGGCGTCCGGCAATGCGTGGGGGCGCGCTCTGCTTGAGCTCTTATTAAAGCCCTGCCCTGCCCAATTGACTCTGTTGTCCCAGTGCTGCGAGCAGACTGCCCAGGGGAGGGAAGTGTGGCAGCCGGAGGCCCGAGCGGTACCCTCGAGAGCAAAGCACAGGGCTTGTGACAGGTTAATCCAAGGATCTGAGCGATATGGAAGAAAGCCCAGACCCAGGAGTGAGAGCCAGCCCAGGGCTCAGACCAGGAGCAGACTGGATGATGGTTAAGGAGCAGCGGAGATGTCAGGATGGCTGTGCTGTGGCAGAGCCCTGTGTGGGACGCTTGCCTGGTGCCAGGGGTTTGATGCCTGGCTTCCTTAAACGTGGCCTGCACGCAACTTGAGTTACCCAGCCACCAGCCGTGGTCTCGGAAGAGAGCTCGCCACGGACGTGCTGAGGGTTCTGCCGTGGAAGTGCTCTGTAACCATGCACAATTCACCCTCCTCCACTGTGTCTCTCTCGCGCTTACGGGGCCCTACACCAGGTCTCCACTGGCTGAGTGAGTAGCAGTGTGCAGAGGGCTCGTCCCCTGGAGAGTCGAGCAAGACCCGCCTGTGGTGGTGGCGGCTGTGGAAATCGGCTCAAGCCATGAGGCAGAGCAGGGCTGTGGATGAAGTCCGTCACAACCACGAGCTGTGCAGGGCCTTGGGACCTCCTTGCTGCGTGGGCTCAGAGCCAGGCTGCTTTGCGCGTCTGGGTTCTGTTGCAATGGAAAATGCTCAGACAGCTGCGTCACTCCAGTTAGAAATGGGTGTAATTGGGAAATAACAACCCAAGGGAGAAGAATTATGCAACACTGCTCTGCCCACGGCAATGGCACACGCCCCAGGCAACGTGGCCTGTGCACCAGGATCGCTCAGTCGTCCCTAGCCTGAGTGGCCTGTCCCGTGCCAATGCTGTAAGTAAACAGGGATCCGCGTGTGGGCAAGTGACCCTGGGCCTCCCGTAGATAAGATGCAACTGGGACACCAGGCCAAACCCTGCAGATTTATCACCAGAACAGCTGAAGACGGCCAGCGCACTTGGCGAGGGATGGAATTAATGGGAGCTGGAGTCAAACTTCCCCTCTCGGAATCCATTGTTTCTGCACCAGAAATGGGGTGTGGGTGTGTGTGGGGGGGGGGGGGTTCCCTCTACCTGACCCTTCGCCGGTCACAAAACCACCAGTGAATCGGCCAGTCCTGCCAATAGCGTTACTCACGGCGCTGCTGAACTGAGGTGGTTTCTCTGAGTGACTGTGGTGGGGAGAACAGTTGAGTTAGAGCATCTCTCTTCTGGTAAATAAAACCACCGTTACGTGCTGAATGCTTCACTCTGGCCTCTTCAGCTGGGCAGCCACGCACAGCCTGGTTCCACGGGCTCCTCAGCCTCATTGACTTGCCCCCTGGGTCCATCTTCAATAATGCTTTGCAGGGCTTTGCCAGGCTGAAAGCAGGAACCTGGTTAGAGCTTCAGCGCAGCCCCGAGCAAACGTCCAGCGGCTTGGGTGAGTGGGTGCTTGGTGGTTTCAGGGGAGAGGTCCTGGCTCCACTCTGAGCATGGTGACTCGTGCCTTGCAGATGTTCTTCAGGCTTGAGTGCACAGGGGTTTAGTCTGCTGCTTAAAATAACCTGGCCAGCTGCTAGCTTTCTGACCGCCCCTGGGCCTAGCATTGGCTCTTTGGGGCAGCTTCCTTGGTTTGGTCCTTGCTGTATCTTTTCAGACCTTACATCAGTGGTTCCCAACCTTTTGGGACGGCCAGGCGCCCGGGGGTGGGGTCACTCATGGGCCGGGCACCCGGGGGTGGGGCCACCCATATGCTGCGTGCCCAGTGCTGGTGCCACCCATGCGCTGCACTCCCGGGGCCGGTGCCATGCCTGCGCCCAGGGGCGGGGACGCCCATACACCACATGCCCGGGCTGGTACAGCCCATGCACTGCGCTCCCAGGGGAGGGGCCACCCATACACTGCGCGCCCAGGGGCCGGCACTGCCCATGCACCACGTGCCCACGGGTGGGGCTAGCCCCGATCACTTGGTGGGCACACAGAAATGGCCCAGCGGGTGCCATGGCGCCCATGGGCACCACGTTGGGGACCACTGCCTTACGTGATCATGTAGTAGTCTAGGAACTGCTCCATCATGGTTGGTCTTGGAATGCCTCTCTCTGTGTCAGGCTCTCCAGTCAAGCTCTACGTTGGAGGCTGCTAATTGTCTTACAACTCGAGGTGTTTTGCATGTCTCCCTATAAGGTGGCATAAAAATAGTATGTTTAGTAAAAGAAACTCGTTCAGGTTAAATCTGAATCGGCGGCTGTCCCCAGCACCCCACTGCCTAATTCCAGTTCAGCAGTTGTTTGAATTCCGGAGGTGGGAGAGAGAGCAAAGAATAAATGTAGGGAATCTGCTCTCTATTTTCTCCTATATTCCTAGCCACCTGCTTCTGGATCATGCAGCCTATGTGATGTCTACAACAGGCAGTGGGGGTCTATTCCTTTATGAAGTCTTGTGTGCGACAAATGTACTTAAATCTCCACTCAACAGGACCGACAACCAATTAAGCATGATATGTACTGGCCACGTCTTGTGGCTAACAACAGCCACACATCCTTTTTGGGGAAACTATTTTA